CTTCCTAGAGAGGATAGAGTTGGGGTGGCTCAAGGGTAGACTAGGAGAGTTTCCCTTGTAATCATTCAAAGGCTTTTTGGTGGAGTTGTTAAAATTCCTCCAAGGGAGGTCGAGGTTTTTTAATCCCTTTGAGCCAAGAGATTTTTCCTCGTTAAATTCTTGTGCACTTTACTATTTCGCAATTCCCTATACCCCGCACTAGAACTTGGCGAAAAACTGCCACGGTTCCACACACACACAATTCACCCCCCCCCCCCCCCCCTCTTGTGTTGCTAACCGTTTCATCAATTGGTATCAGAGCCGGTCTTCACCACATAGAGGTTAATACCTTAGGATGAGATCCAGCAAAATGAATACGGTTGACCGATTGGAAGAAGGGTACTCGACTCAATGACCACCATTGTTCAATGGTAAATATTATCAGTTCTGGAAGAGTCGGATGGAGAACTTTATCAAAGCCGATAATTATCAGGTATGGAATGTGATAGAAAGTGGCGACAATGTCATCACAAAGATAAACGGTGAAGGTAATGTTGTTCCTAAACCTAAATCTGAATTTACTACTGATGATTATCAAAAACTCGAGCATAATGCCCAAGCACTAAAATTTTTGATTTGTGGACTTGGTCCTACCGAACACAACCAAGTTCTAGGATGCAAGTCTGCCAAACAAATGTGGGATTTAATCGAGGTTACTCACGAAGGTACCTCACATGTAAAAAAATAATCTAAAATTGACATATTTATGCGTAATTATGAATTATTCGTAATGAAGCCCGGAGAGTCAATTAAGGATATGATTACACGTTTTACTAATATCATCAATGAGCTTTCAGCCCTTGGAAAGTAAATTACTGTGGAAGATCAAGTGAGAAAAATATTGAGAAGCTTGCCCTCGGTATGGAAGCCTAAGACCACGGCTATTGAGGAAGCAAAGGAAATTACTGTGGAAGATCAAGTGAGAAAAATTCTTGTGCACTTTACTATTGGTTGACGTGCAGGCGCTTCTGTCGGCCTGAATCTTCCCCCTCTTCATCATCCTCGAACTGGGCTCCAACCTCCCTTTTCTTCGAAGTCGAGGATGGCTTGTCTTTTCCCCTGCTCCAGATGTTCGGTTTCTGGGGATCCTGATTCTGCCGAATCTTCTTCACGAACTGATCCAATTGTCCGTCGTGGGCTAGTTTTTCCACATACTTCTTCAGAATGTAACAGTCGTCGGTCTCATGGGTATCGCTTCTGTGAATTTTACAGAACTTACCCTTAGGGTTTTGACCGTTGACGGCCCTCAGGGATTCCTATATATATATAGGTTTTGGTTCAAATAAGAACACGATCTTATGAGAGAAATGAGAACGAATCTGGACCGTTAGATTTCCTTCAAATGAAATTCAGTGTACATTAGATGAAACTGTGATGTGCATTAGGTAAAATTGAAATGTGCATCACAAAAGGTACTGTAACGCCCCAAAACCCGGTCTAATCGTTAAGACTATATACGAATAAATTTATAATATCAATATAAATAAATTATATTTCAGTCAAAATTGGGAATTTTGTTCCAAATGATTTCTTTTTAATTTTACCAAAAACTCTTAAATTTTATTCTATGATATTCCTACCGTACATAAATATAACATTTATGATTAAAAGATAAATAGTGTGTAAAGTAATAAGTCAGCATGACACGATAAGGACTATTACAATTACTAGCTCTAATATTTTATTAATATACTTAGTTTCTTGATGACAAATACACTTAAGGAAATTGGAAGTATTGTGACGCAGCAAATTATGTCCTCGTCATGGGACACTTGGTTTAATAAGACACTTTCTAAAATGACAAGGATTATATGGCGGTCCAAATTGACTATATAAATAGGTGATGCTACTTCATTAAATTTAATTTTAAGTAACAAGATAAGTAATCGTTACGGAGTATATTCAAGAGAAGAGCCGTATATATATACCAAAAGTACTACCTCCTGCGATTATTATTTCCAGATAAATTTCGTTTGTATCTGTAAGGTCAGTACATTCCCGCCCCCGTTTAGATTAATATGTATTTCAATATTATTAATTCCGTCCCCGTTTCCTGTTATGTTATGGGGATGATGAACGTTGATATCTTGTGTACGTTCCCGCCCCCGTTTAGATTAATATGTATTTCAATATTATTAATTCCGTCCCCGTTTCCTGTTATGTTATGGGGATGATGAACGTTGATATCTTGTGTAATATGTGAACCTAATATGCATGCATTAACTATATCTCTATATATCAACCATGCATACATTACTTATTTTAACTAGACTTACGTAAACTTTATATATATATAAAACCCATATTTGAAAAGTTTAGTTATCAATAATTTATTTACCAAGCTATAGCATTTATAAAAAAAGAAGAGCTATTACGAAACTAAGAAATGTTACTAACAATAATAAAAGGCTAAATTCTATCAAACCCACATGCATTAATAAGTACTACATACGTAGCTTATATGTTATTTGTTATGTTAAGTTAGTTCAAACACCATACGTAAGTATTGGTGATTAAATAAATTAAAGTTTATATTTTCTGAAAAAGCCTTACTCTTGGTCTGGCACTCTGACGTGAATACTTCTGTTCTGTTTAGTGTACTACGTACACTCCTGAAATTCTGTTTTAGAGGAATTAGTGTTCTCCTGTTTAGTGTACCGCGGACACTCCTGGAAACTTTTTAGAACACTATTACTCTTTTGTTAAGGATCGGGTCTCTTCAGTGATCTCATCCTTTCTGTTCAGCTAGCTTCTGTCAGGGATTGGTACGTGTAGCTCCGGCGATTACGTTTCCATATCCTTTCTGGGTAATGTGGGTACAGACTCGAGGCTGTATTCCTTACCGTTAGTATTCCGCTGTCCAGGTCCAGTTTCTTGAGTTTAAGGCTAAGTAAATGAATCTGTGTTATTAATGATACATTTTAAAAACATGAATTATCTGATAATCGGATATCTGAACTTGTTTTGTTATTTATATAAATATTCTGAAATACATGAAAGTTTATCCAGTTCAGCCAGGTATGTTTATATGTTCGCTTGATCACATGCTAATTATGCTAGGTTTGCTATATGTTTCAATATGTTATATTTGTTATCACCGTACCACTCAGCACATTGCTGAGCGGGTAGTTGTTGTTTTTTTTCCTACCCGTAGGTCAAGCTCAGGATCAACTTGAAGCATCGGGATGAAGGGAGGCATAGGTCTCATATGCATGTGGTGTGTCTTGGGGTTCTTTAAAGAGTATGGAATATGTATTTTGAAATAAACTCTGAAGGGTCATTTTGATATTTTGTAAGAACCTTCCGCTGCAGTTAAATGAATTTTGTGACGTTGGCATATGCCTATGTAATAATTCCCTACGTATTTTGGGCTAGTAAATTCCAATTATTCAATAATAAAAATCATACTTTGTAAATATGTTTTAAATATGGTTTAATCGGATGAAAGTCTTTAAATGAATGTGTTTAGGTTTCTGCCTCGTGACACACCGCTCGGGTCGGCGGGGTCGATCTGGGTGGGGTGTTACAGGTACGATAGAGTGGCATTATGTGCAGTTGAATTGTGCATAATGTGAAATTGAAATATGCACTAGGTGAAGTTGAAATGTGCAGAATAAAAAGTACGATGTGATGTTATTTTGTACTTTTTTCGCACATATCAGTTTCATCTAATGCACACTTGAGTTTACATTTTTCTTTTGCACATTTCAATATCATTTAATGCACATTTCAGTTTCACCAAATGCACAATTTGGTTCCACATAATACAATCCAACGGTCCAGATTCGTTCTCATTTTTCTCCTAAGATCTGTTCTTATTGGAACCGCTCCCTATATATATAGGGAGAACACTAGTTTTGGTGATAAATAACAACGGTTTAGAACCGTAGATTTGTGAAATCGGATGGTGAGATTGAGTGCAGAAAAGGGGCAGCCGATTTTGTTATAAAAGGAAATAAATTAATGGCAGCTTCTAGTCAACTTAAAGATTGTCACGTTAGGGATACTTTGGACACTTGATAATTAAAAAAAAAAACAGAAGTTGTATGCAAGGAAGGCAGCAGATGTGGTTGAATCCCATCATTATTGTCATTGCCAAAGTTAGAAGACTTTAATTTAGTAAGTTTCTTCTCAACCATAGTAAGTAGTTTAAATGATGGAGAGAAGAGAAACAAGGTCCATAGCAAAACGTGAACTAATGTGCATTTAGAGAATATTAGTTGTGCTAAATAATAGGATGCACTTTTAAATGAACTAACATGCAATTAGGCAAGCACATTTGTGATACGTTGTGTTAATGTATCTGGTACATTTATGACTAATGAATTGTGCATTTACATAAAAGCATTTGTGCTAAATTAGATGAATCAGTTTGAAATTACTTAGTGTGCAATTGGGTAAGCACATTTGTGATAAGTAAAGTGAAATTATGTAGTACACAAGCACATTTGAGATACATTGTTTGAACTTATTCTGGCACATTTGTGATAAATGGAGTGTGCATTTCGATAACCTCAGCCGTGATAAATTATAGAAAGCACTTTTTAATGAACTAGTGAGCAATTAGGCAAGCACATTTTTTATATGTGGTGTTAATGTGTTTGGTACATTTATGAATAATGAATTGTGCACTTACATAAAAGCATATGTGCTAAATTAGATAAATCAGTTTAAAATTACTTAGTGTGCAATTGGATAAGCACATTTGTGATAAGTAAAGTGAAATTATGTAGTACATTTGTTAAATTATCTAGTGTGATAAATTAGATGAATTGTGTTGATTTGCTTGAATGCGTGTGGGAAAAGATGATCTCTGGCACGCATTGTTTGAGATTGATTGCACATGGAATGTGCATTTAAGTAAAATCATTTGTTCAAAAGTTAAATCATTTGTTTAAAATTATCTAGTGTGGAATTACGCAAACACATTTGAGATGCATTGTTTGAACTTATTCTAGCACATTTGTAATAAATGGAGTGTGCATTTAGATAACATCATATGTGCTAAATAATAGGAAGCACTTTTAAAAGAACTGGTGTGCAATTAGGCAAGCACATTTGTGAAGGTTCTGCTTGCTCTGGCAAAATGTGAGCCTCTGCGTCATTATGTGAGCGTTCTGGCTGTTCATTACTAACAGCGCTAAACACAGGACCATGACTGGCTTCTACCAGTTTGGATTTAGCAGGATTCTTGAAACCGACTCTATTGCACACAACATATTTCCAAACAACAGTGTTTGTCCTAGGCCGGCATTCCTTAGTTTGAGAACCAATACGAGAGTCGAAGCCACAAGCACCCGCATACTGCCTATAAAACTCAATACCGTCCTCAAGGGTTTTGAATACCATGCCAAGCCTTGGTTTGAATGTTTCATCACATTCAGAGATCCAATACTTGTTTAATCCAGGAGATATTTGTAAAACTTCTACATGAGTAAAAAAAGAAACATAAATGTTTATAGTTATTCAAAGAAAATAAAAACACAAACACAACAACAAAGACATAGCGCTAAACGATGAAACTTGGCGATGAAACTTAGTTATTACAGGAACTTAGAAAATTGATGATGAAACACCACGTAAGAGAAAAAATTAACGTTGCAACACAAACAATGAAGCTTATTCACAAAAATTTTAAAAACAAGGAGAAGAAGAAAGAAAGAATTATTGGAGATGGTAAGGAAAACGAAACGAAAAGAAAAAGGAAATCAAAAATACGTACAAAAAACAAAAGCAGGTCAAGAAAAACGAACCTTTATAGTCAGGATGTCGAGCTTGAGAGATTTCACGTACATGGAATGGCTTTTCGTAACTGAAAAGGAAAGGAATCAAACGTTTAATTGATTGACAAAATATTATGGAAAGAAACGTGGAAGGAAAGCTGCATACGTACAAAAGGAAATAAATTTTGGAATGACCATCTTGACCTTTGCATGCACACATGAGAAGCTAAAAAAATCAATTGATCTAATGGCCAGGATTGTTTCTTATTTATCACATTAGATGGTGTTCTTATTTGAACCAAAACCTATACATATATATATATATAGACACACACACACACACACACACACACACACATATATATGTTCTAAAAATCGTTCTAGGCGCCCGACTAGTTCCCGCCTAGGCGCTAGGCGGTGGTCGGGCGCCCCGATTTTTGTCTAGGCGCTCCGACTAATTTGTTTGCCATCTAGGTGAATTAGTCGGCCGTCTATGTCGCCTAGTTGCTCGCCTAGAGCGCCTAGTCGGCCGCCTAGGCCGTCTAGATTCGCCGAATCTTACTTCACTTTTTAATTTTAATTTTCTAAACGATATATGTACTTTAACTTTAACCGTGTATATAAAGAAATGAAGTTGTAAATTAAGATAAAACTATATATGTTTGTATATATGCCTGAATTTTATCATTATTTTGTTAATGTATATGTATATATGTATTTTTTTACACACAAAAGTACAATATGATAGTATTATTTATCATATTTATGCAAAAATATAGATAAAAAATGCTATTTCTATGTCTCCGACTAGTCCCCGCCTAGGCGCTAGGCGCTGGGCTGGCGCCCGACTAGCGCCTTTTCGAACATTATATATATATATATATATATATATATATATATATATATATATATATATAGGGTAAGGTTCAAGTGAGAAGAACCCTTTGGGTGAGAAATGAGAATGAATCTCAGCCATTGGATTCGACTAAGTTGCAGTAAAATACACTTCATGATGCACTGAAATATGCAATCTAGCACGGTGGCATTTCTGTAAATACTTCTGAAAAATCCGTATTACACGTGTCTAGTACAACATGAAGCGATTTCGGTGCAATGCCGTCAAATATTAGTGCAACATGAAACAGTTTTAGTGCAACATGTGCAAAATTTAAATATTACTGCAACATAAAGCCAATTTTAGTGCAACTTCGTAAATCCAATGGCTAAGATTCATTCTCATTTCTCACATTAGATGTATTTCTCACCTGAACCAAAATCTATATATATATATATATATATATATATATATATATATATATATATATAGAAAACTTCATGTCAGGCCGGCCTGACGGGCTGCCCCGTCCGGCCGAGCCCGTTTGGGCACCTTCCCGGTGTATTTTCCGGACCAGTTAACTTGCAAAAATCATTTGACGACCTTCCCGATCGAATTTTGAGCTGAAATTTGATATGGGCAAACTAGACTTGACGAGGAACATGCTCAAAAAATTTCATCAAAAAATTCCACCGGGAAGGTGCCCAAACGGGCTCGGCCGGACGGGGCAGCCCGTCAGGCCGGCCTGACATGAAGAGCACTATATATATATATATATATATATATATATATATATATATATAGAGTATTAAAATTGATGAGAAATTTGGAAGAATATGTTTACTTATATTTTCCTCACATAACTTATTCAAATAAAAAAAATTTAAAAAATTGGTTGCAATAACTTATAACAAACACAATATTTCACAATTAAGTTCATAGTTGTAAAAATTGGCAGTAATATCTACTAGTTCAACTCTTTCACTGCTACACACACTCCCTTCGTCTCACAATTAAGTTCCTAATTGCATTTTGGGTCAATTTTATAAACTATGATCATTTTTTTAGGGATAAGGGTCAGATAGGGCCTCGAACTTAGAAAAAATGTCAAATAAAGCCATATGTAGGAGGTTTTGTCCGATTGTCACCATTTGAGGCGGTTCCCGGTAAATTTTTTGATGAATTTTTTTAGCATCTTATCTATTAAATCTAATTTACGCATACCAAATTTCAAGCTAAAACTTCAATCGGGAAGGCATTCAAATAAATTCTTGAAGATAACTGCTCTTTTAATTGCGCAATTATTTTTAAGAATTCATTTGAATGCCTTCCGGATTGAAGTTTTAGTTGAAATTTGGTATGAGTAAACTAGACTTAATGAATAAGATGTTCAAAAAATTTTATCAAAAATTCCACTGGGAACTGCCCCAAATGCCTTATTTAGGGCTGGACTCGGGCCGGTTCGGGCCCAGCCGGGCCTCGGGCCAGGAAAGGGAGGCCCGAGACCGAACCGCCGGTGGCCGGTTACGGTCCCGGTTCCGGGCCAAACCGGGCCGGGCCGGGCCGAACCGGCCCAATTAAATTTTTGTTTTTTGTTCTCCTATTTAATCCCCTACCCCTCCCCCTCAACCCCAAACCATCCCAAACCACCTCAAATGGCCCAAAATACCTAATCCAACCTAAAACTTAAAAAAAATTTCAAAAAAAAAAAAATTAAAATCCGGCCCGGACCAGGCCCGAACCGGCCGGGTCGGTTCACCAAAACCTGAGCCCGAGCCTGAACCGCCCAGCAGCCGGGCCGGGCCGAACCGAACCGGTGGACCCACCGGGCCCCGGGCCGGGCCAAACAGTAACCAGGCCGGGCCGGTTCCGGGCCGAGCCGCCCGGCCCGAGTCCAGCACTAGCCTTATTTGACATTTTTTTCTAAGTTCGAGACTCTATCTGACCCTTTTCTCTTTTTTTATTAGACTCTAGTATAGTTTTCTGGTTATTGTGTGTTGTTCTATCAGACATCAATGGCAAGCTTGGAACATATGGTGAAATAATAGAACACTGTTAAGAAAATGTGAACAAATACAAAAAGGCAACTTAGTTCATTCAAGTGTATCCATTCTGACTTTCTCCACCAGTTCAAGTAGCCTATGACTATGAGTCATGATGATGTGCAAGTCATGTTTACGTTTGTTTGGGAAGAAAATACGAATACTCCCTCAGTAACATATTCCCATTTGAAAAATAGGTGGATTAAGAATTGTGAAAGACTGAAAGGGAATATAAATTATTGAGGGTATGATGGGAAGATGGTGAAATAATATGATGGAATAAAGGATAAATTCAAAAAAAATAGGTGTTATAGTGTATTATTTTTAAAATTATTGAGGGTATGATTGGAAGATTATGAAATGGGAAGATATGAATGTTACATCCAAAAAAGGAAAGTGAGAAGATATAAATGTTACGGAGGAAGTATATTTTTGGCCAACATCTCTCGCTTCCTTTTCAACAAGGACAATGCTACATCATCATCACAGTGGTGCCAAGGCGAGGCAAGCACTAGTTCCTAAAGTCTAGAGCGAAATTCATCAAAGGATGTGATAGAAGGAAAGACTACATCTCAAAAGAAAATTAAGAAATATCACCAAGGTATATTACATCATCAAGAGCCTGATTTTTTTCTCCAACTATTCTTCAAGCTCTTTCAACTTTTTCTCTGCTAGACGGATTGACTCCTTTCCTATTTTGATATACTCTTCATAAAATGTACGTAGCTTATCCAATTGCTGGAACTGAGATTCAGCATGTACCGCAGCCAATGCACTCAATTTATCACCAGTGTATGATGCCTTCATCCGTTGCTGCCATGACATTAGAATTCATCATGTGTTAAATTAACATAGAAAAGCAACACAAATATAACATATTTCCCATGCAACATGCATCAGAAAATGAGACTTCATTTTCAAGTATGATAGAGCAACTTGCAAAAAAAACCTTTATAATAAATTCATCTTCCTCTTCAGAAGAAAAGGGACGTTCACAGCATGACCAAATATGATTATCACGAGCAAAGTTTTCAAACGGCACAATCAGTAATTTCATACCATTAGCTTTGTTATATTCGCTGCATTCAGTAGTATACAAAAAAATATGCTATAGAAAATGCCCACAAATGCTTGGCATTGAAAAGAAATCCTTTGGATCATTAAAACCATGTAACGGCAAACCTTTTCATAGATTCGCTTTTGTCTGGTCGAATCCAAAAGCTCAGTGTAAATGTCAATACTGGCAGGAACTTGGTCAACAAAATGGAGTTTGGATTCAACAAATCTTTTCTTTGCTTCAATTGAATCAAAGAATATTGTATGAGCATCTACACAAAAGAATTTAGCTTAAAACGGTAGAAAATTCATAATATGACCTTCATTGCATAATGTGTAGGAATAACACACAATAGACTTTCTTGCAGACATAAAGGTAAATCCCCAAAAGATAATAATGAAAAGGTTTATTATCATGCACTGCGACATATATCTTTTGATCGGAACTTCTGCATGACCTTGCAGATTTCTAAAAAATTATGGAAAGCAACTACAAATATTTCCCCGTCCATCTCAAAATAAACTTCATACTTTCCTTTATGGGTTGTCCCATAATAAACTTTGAATTCCATAAAAGGAAAGAAAGAACCGTGCATAGTTGTCGATGGCGTCAAAATGTCAAATGGCGCACGCGCCATGCGCCATGAGGCGCACTTATCACCCCTGTGCTACGTAAAAGGCCTGTGTGGCAAGGCAAATACACATGGCGTCACCATTCTTGCGCCTTCGCCATTCCTGCGCCTTCGCCATTCCTGCGCCTTCGCCATGGCGCTGCGACTGGTTTTTTAATAAAAAAAAGTCGCGTCTTTGAGCTGTAAGTTGTGGCCTTTTGGGCCATAATTATCTGCGACCCATTATAACAATAAAACTGTAACAAAAACTTACTATTTTTAGCCCATATTACTAACAACAACCCTAACCAAAAGTCAATAAACACAACAAAGTGATAACACGTGAGAAGTTAAAGCTGCTCTGCGCAAGAAAGGGTATGCGACAAACGACAGAAAGGCAAACGACAAGGGGGGCTCTCATTGACTTCTTCCAACTACACAAGGTACGACTACCTCTTTAATGCTGTGTATAAATGAAGAAAAGTTCAGTTTATACAGTTACAGTTTATCCAAAACTTTATATATATATATATATATATATATATATTCCTGAAAATGTGAACTTCATGTGCTATGAGTATTAAATACAGAGCAGCTCAGCCTTTAATCCTTAATGTTAAATGCATAATATATTAATATGCTATGATACTTTATGTCTTTATCAATTTATCACTTTAAACTTTGAAATAAATTAAGTTAGATAGATAGATGCTAATTAGGTCCGAGTAACCGATAAATTTTCACGAACCGCCGGTTCCTTTTAGCGGGTAGGTTCTGTCCTGGTATACCAATTTCCAAAATAGGAACCGAACCTTACCCGCCCCGTTTGAAACGGGCCCGTTCGGTCCGAGTCCTCGATTCCTTTTTGTAAAAAAAAGTACGACTATGCAAGCAAAGCTTCTAGTAAGTTCTAAAATTCTCAAATTAATAACATATTAATGTAACCAGAATATAGTATTTATTCAAAATAAAAGTATAAGACAACATATTAAATTAGTTGACAAAATATCGAACCACAAATCTATAAATTAAACAACACACAATCAACTCAATTAAAATTGTAATCATCGTTCATAAACCAATTAAAAAGACAGGACCATAAATTCATAAGAACTTAAACTAGTTACTATACATATTCGTCTAAGAAAAAATTTAAAACTTATTAAATTTTTAAGTATAAGTAAAATTAAGACAAATTAAATTAATATGTGACACTTCATTGAGTAAGAGTCTTTATTTACAAAAATATTAAATCGTTTGGGACTAAGGCTTGGATGTTGTCGTTGTTGTAGAGAAAGTTTGATGCATTTGGAATAGAGAATAGAGAAAAATAGTTTAAGAGTTTAATTATGCGGACTTGAAAACTAATTTTAATAGACTGAGAAGTTTTTTTAATTAGAAGTCTTTGTCTAAACACAAGAACATGAAGAGCTTTCATGTGTTGTTAGTATATTACTACGTATATTATACTAGTATTAGATATTTTAGAAATTATTAAAATAATATTTAAAAACGGTTCGGTCCGGGTACCCCTTTTTCAAATTGTAAGACCCGTTCGGTTCCTAGGTTTTTCAGGACCCGCCCCGAACCATTTGGATTTTCTAACATTAGGACCCGACCCTAACCCGCCCCGAACCTGTATTACCCGGCCCGACCCGCGGTTCCAGTACCCGTTTGCCCACCCCTAGATGCTATGATCAGATAATTTATAAATTCAAATACTTATAGCATAAGCATAGTAAAATGAAGTTTAAACTGAAAGTATTAAACTGATTCTAGTAATTTAAGCTGCTAGTAATTTATCAATTTAGTTGCTAGTAATTTAGTTTAAACTGAAAGTATGATCAGATAAATAATTTATAATGAAGTATTAAATTAAAATAATTAAGATGCTATCATGCTAGTAAAATGAAGTTTTAAATACTTTATCAATTTAGTTATAGCATTGTAAAATGATGTTTTTACTTTAGAACTTAAAGTATTTAAACTGATAAACTGATACACTTTAATAAGTTAATTTAGTTAAAACTTTACACTTTACAGTTTAGAGTACCTTTAAATTGATACTTTATCATTGGCTGAAACTTTGTTAAGACTTAAGATATGCTCATAAGTTGATAAAAGCCGCTCAATTTAAACTTTAGAACTCTGTATTTAATATATATCATTTACTTTATGTCTATCAATTTATAACAGTTTACACTTAGCGGTTTAACATATACATAGATTTTAACTTATGAGTTATGACATTGATCTGTTTTATGATAATTGTTATTACAGAGGTAACCAAAGCGGCAGAGCCGCAAAGGATGTCTGTTGCCTTTGCTAAGGAGTTCTGTGAGAAAGTGAAAGAAAAAAACAACAATGAATTGCGCTGCAAGTACTGCGTGCACATGACTAAAGCTGGAATTACAAGGTTTAAGCAACAATTGACTGGGAAGCACCGCAACACAAAACAGTGTGAACTCATTCCCGCTGATAAGAAGGCTGAACTACAGGCACTAGTCTTGAAAGAATCTGCTGCTAACTCAGAAAAACAATGTGTGTGAACAAACCTTTTGAAGTACATATACAGTACAGCAGTCTAGTGGGTCAAGTGCCCATAGGGTGAATGGAAGAACTGTGAAGACGGGGGCACAAGGGATTACTACCTACATCTACAGCCATACCCTTGTTCACGACTTGATGAAGGAATTTACCAAGGGGAGAGAGCTAGTTAGACCTGCTGACACCCGGTTTGCCACCAACTTTCTGACTCTTCAAAGTCTTCTCACGCAGAAACACGCATTGAGGCAAATGTTTGCTTCACCGAAATGGTATGAAAGCGAGTTTGCAAAAACTACGGAAGGTAAATCTTGTTTTGAGTCGATTTATCGTCAAAGCTTTTGGAGAAGTGTTGCCTATGTTATAAAGATTTCTTTGCCCATAGAGAATTATGGATGGAGAGGTGCCTCCAATGGGCTTTATTTATGAGGCTATGGAGAGAGCGAAATTGGGAATAAAAAACACATTGGGAGGTAAAGAAGAGAAATACATGCTTCTTTGGAAGATAATAGATAAGTTGGAATGAGAACCTGCATTCTTCATTACATGCAGCGGGGTATTATCTCAATCCTCAATTCTTTTACCCTAATTCATGGCAAATCCTTGAAGATGAAGAAGTATGTGATGGCTTTATAAAGTGTGTGGAGAAGATGTTGTCCACTAGCATTGCAGTGTAGAGTTCTCAACTGAGATATCAAACTATACAAATGCTAGAGGAAGTTTCTGAACTAATATGGCAATGAACAATAGGGACAAACAACCACCGGGTATGCAAACTTTAATCGGTTTTCTCTTTCTTATGTAAGTATTTTATTTACTTCAATTTGGTAATGAGGTAACCTACTGCCTACGAACTTATTTTAATTAACTTTCTGCTAGAACTAACTTTGTAGGTTTATAGAAATTGGATTTCAACTTTCCGGAAACTGGAAAGTCCTAAACTGCAACCTACTGTCCTACAACCTACTGTATGGACTCGATAATGTAAAATCTGGGTTATAAATGATACTACCTCCGTCCCAAATTGAGTTGCAATTTTGACTTTTCTTGGTCAAACGGATTCGTTTTGTTCACTTAATTAGGGTGTCAATTTTTAATTATATTCCATTTTGGAGTTTACAACTTTGAAGAGATTTCAATGTAGTTTATGAATATGTAAATTTTAATTATTAAAAATTGAATTTATTATCAATAAGAAGGTTTGACTTTTATTATTGGTTGACCAAAAATTGTTGACTTTGCAAAACAATTTGGGACGGAGGGAGTACTTAAGATATATGAAATCTATTGTCATTCTATACAATCTATACCATTTAAAATTTGAGTTTTGGTAGTCATAAAACTACTGTAATTGACCTACACTTGCAGTCAACTTACTGTTATGGACTGGAAATGGTATAAATCTGAATTTTGAAAACCTGAAATAGTGAAATCTGAGTATTGCCTTCTAGATTATTGGTAGCAGGCTGTAATAGTTAAATGATGGCTAGCACTTGCTGTAATTGACTGCAAAATTAAAATGGAAAGCTGAAATTTTAAATCCTGAAATCTGAGTATTGTTTTCTAGATTATTAATTAACACTTGGTTGGAATTTTAAATATAGTTGACTGGTGGCTTGCAAATGGCTCCTCGTCTCCTACTTTGCAACATCTTGTTGTTCGGATCCTTAGTTTAACTTGCAGTGCTTCTGGATGTGAACGAAACTGGAGTGCTTTTGAAAATGTAAGTTCATAAATCTTCCTTTCATATTTAATTTAAGTGTTTAACTATTTAAGTTATCTCACTATCTGTAGTTGATTTATTAAGTACTTGTTTTAAGTTCAAACCAAGATAAGGACAAGGTTGCTACCAAAAAAAATGAATGATTTGGTATACATTCGGCAGAATCAACGTCTTCAAGATCAAGCTTTCAGAAAAATGAAAATATGTTTGGATGACATTGATGATTGCAATGAATGGATTGATAAAGCTGCCGAGCAAAATGAAATGGAAAATTGGGATGTAGTGGAAGAAGTTGTTGGTGTTAATGAAGCAAATCACAACACATGAGCAACAACAACAAGAGCATCAACACTTCAGTTGCAAGACAAAGAGGAGACAGAGGAGACAGAGGAGGAGGAGGAGACAGATGAGGTTGAAGATCCCTCTGATGATGAACTCAATGAGGATGATGTGTCATTGCTATCAGATTCAGACCAAGATGATGAGGAGTGGGATGATTGAGGATGATTATGGCATAATCATCCAACAATAACAAGCTAACAAGCCTAAATCCTAACATATTTTGCATGACAAGAAACTTCTTTTGAATATTAGTTTTTTTGGAAGTTCTTTAAACTACTTTAAAGTACTTTAAACTGTTTTGGTGTTGTTATTCAACTTTTTATCTTGTTTTGGTGGTTGTGTTGATCAAGTATAGTGTCTATAGTTCGTTTTTGTGTTTTTTTTGTCTAGTGGCGACGCCATATTTGCGCCATCGCCATCGCCATGGGAAAAGGCCTGTGCGCCATGGCAGTCGCCATGCGCCATGACAACTATGGAACCGTGCATTGGGCGTTTATATTGGGACACAATGATTGGTACAGAAAATGTGTTAAAATCTATTTTATTCTATCATACAAGCTTGTGTATATCAGTCCATCAGATCAAGCATGTTATGGAAAACGTGCTTACATTCCGCTTCCTTGTTAAGTTTGTATAAGTTATCATTGACTCCATCAATCTTTGCCTGCACCATATTTAAGTTCTTCTCTGCATCACGAGCTTTTACACTAAAGTCTTCAATTTATTTGTGAAGAGTGCTGCAGTAAAATTTCCAAGGCAAAACAAAACCTGCATGAACGACTCTCCATGGGCAATCAACAAGAAAAGAAAACTAAATACATAAGAAACATTTATGCACTAAATGTTTTTAAGCAATGAAACATTGACATGGAATAAGGGACCCATTGCATCTGGTGCGCCCATGTGCGAGTTTAAGAGACATGGAAAATATCATTAATGCAACTATCGGGTAGTACTAGCAATTCATAAGCTGTCTCTTTAATCCAAGATTGCACCTGGAACAAATCAATAACTTCGGTAATAAACTAATAATTTATGAATACCGTAAAGCAAGATAACTGACGCTAAGGATGGACGTGAAGCCAGAACCAAGCACTCTGTTAGAAAATCGTCATTGTGGTTTTTGTAGTAATGGTGATTCATAAGTTGTTGGGGTTGTGTTATGCGCTCCCTCACATTGGTTAAAAGTTGGCCCGGGTCAAGAAGCTCATGTTTGACACCCTAGACTTAGTTATACCAAACATATATGAGATGAGTTTGGACAGATCACGCCAGCAAATAAGATGGAAGGAAATGTCCATCAAGGCAATGTGATACCATGAGTTGTAGCAGTACTCAACCCATGTAAGCCAATGAATCCTGCGGATATGTTATGAAGCAGAAAAATAAAATCAACGGGGTGAACCGTTGCCCAAATAATCAACGATAAATAAATACCGTTGCCCAGAGCCAAAAGGCTAAACCAACTTTTATTCCCCGATGATCAAGAATGAAGCATACAAGGGGTATAAATAACCCTCTAGGTCTAATAAGAATAGGAATCCTAATTAAATTATTCTAGGAAACTAAATAGAATAGGAAACCTCTAGTTCTAATAGAACTCATAATTAAATCATTCTAGGAAACTAAATAGAAATAGGAAACCTCTAATTATAATAAGAATAGAAGTCCTAAATAAATCCTACTAAGAAACAAATTAAATTAGGAAACAAAAATAAAAGGAATAATAAATATTAATTAAACAGCCCGCAACCAGCCCACGGAGGTGGGCTTAAGCCCGTCCCGCCTTCGGTAAACCCACGGGGCTTCTGCCCCTCTTCTTCCAAGCCCAGATTCTGCTTCATATCAGGATAGCAGCTTGAAAATAAATCATAAACAACCCCAAAATCTAATAGCCTGACTCCATTTTACTATCGTTAGCAGATGGTAAGCGGACGGTAAACACACATAATTTGTACCGACCAGCTGAAAAAGTCATACCATAATGCACTCATAAAACCTTATCCCTATCCAAAACTAAGGACTCCAAGAGGCCATATAATGTTCTTGCGGAGTTGCGGGAGGGTGGGTAATCCCATAGATACAGGGATCGCTAACATAGCCGCGTTTTCCGTTCTGGATCGCGCGTACCGGATCGCGGTACGTTTACGTGCCGGTCGCTTCTGGTTCGCGACTCTGGTACGGCGGATTCCGGCTGCAGTTCGCGGTTTCCGTCCAGGTGGTACGCCGTTTCCGAGTTGCGGTTCGCACGTCCCCTCCAGCTTTCGACGAACCACCAGTCCAAGAGTCGAGTCGCGTCTGTGAATTGCTTTTTCCAAGCGACACAAAGTCAACGATGAACTCGGTAGTCTGTACTCTTTGTCGTTCGCACTTCAAATATCAAAGCGATGGCTCACTCAAAATCTGAAAGGACTTCTTATTTCTTCAGATTTCACAGTCTGAAACGACGTTATTTTTTCCAAGCCACACAGTCTTTAAAGACTTCCTAGTTCACACTTCTAACCTTCGTACTTAATTATGGTACACAATTTCAAAAAAAATTATGGTACACAATTTCAAAAAAAATTATGGTACACATAAGCAATTGATTAAAGACTTAATTATTTAAATGAATTGTTTAATACTCCGTATTATATTAATTATATTTAATTAATTATATTTATACTTGATAAATTGTACTACACATATGTTTATGGCACACCGTACCATAACAAATGGTACAACGTTCCGCGTACCGAAATAGCGTACCGAAGAATCCTACATTCCTACCCCCCCATATCAGATTTCTAATATTCGCGATCCACGTTCCCGTTTTCGTACCGCGTACCATAGCGTACCACGATCCATGTGACTATGGGTAATCCTTGATCTAGCAAGTGCTTCAAACTGCAATGGTCAATCCGTATCACAAACTCCTGGCTTTATTCATACGGCCATCAATGTGTGAATGCTTGCGGTCAACCCAATTAACTCAGGTTCACATGTTATAAGCTTGACATGGATCAGATACTTTTCTGGCTAAAACAGGCAATAGGTTGACCTTGTTGCATCAATGCATCCTCGTGTTTTAACTCAATTACAGAGGCATCACACTCCGGAATCTGGAGACATCCTCTTTGAAAATTTTGTAACAAGTCTTCAGCAGTTCAGTGGTTGAAGGTTGTGATTTCCCTCGTCTATCCGAATGAACTCTGTCTTTAATAATTGTGTCAGGGATCCTGTAATCTTGTTGGATCGCTGGATAAACTAATGGTAATAAACCAAGAGACCCAAAAAATCACGCAAGGCAATCATCGTCTCAGGGAATGGCCAGGTCATGACCACCTGGAGTTTTGACAAACACGCCTTTTGAGTTCCAGTAAAAGCACTGATGTAGGTCCAATACGCATTGCACAGGTTTTTGAGCTGTGTGTTGTCAATCAAGTGGAAGATTTTTAACCCTATTCATGCCTGATTTGAGGTACAACTTTAGGTAAAAGAATCCGGGTACTATCGTATCATCCGTAACGATTTTATTGATATGTGCTCTGTTATCAGAACCCAATTGAATACACGTGTGATCAGACAGCAGAACTGACTGATTTGAGGTACAACTTTAGGTAAAAAATCAGGGTACTATCGCATCATCTGTTACAATTTTATTGATATGTGCTCTGTTATCAGAACCCAATTGAATACACCTGTTATGGTTGTCACTAATCTATTTATCTCTCCAAAAGTTGGCTGAACTGACATCAGATACCGACTGTTATTTCATGTTGTTCAACTTTACTTAATGTGTCTTGCATAATGTTCTTAATGTGTCTGATGCTGATACAAAGTTGTTAAGAGAATGCATGAGGGATCTTGTCCATGGTCTTGTACGATATAACAAAAGGGGGTGTGTGGTTTGAGTGCCAAAAGGATCAATGCTTGATAACAAATTAATCAGTGCCCGACCGCCAAGACAATCAAAAATTAATTTTTCAAAAGGTAATTTACTGATCCAGCTGAGGACCTTTATATATAGTCCTAAATGAGTTCCCTTTAAGAGCGTCGAATAAGTTACTCAACAAGTCTCATTAACAAACTAAATGAATGTGAGAAGAGTCAAGAAAATGAATTCCATTTAAGAAACATACATGATGCTTTAGACTGTTTATATTAAATATTGAGAGTGACTGAAATTCAAGCAGTTAACTACTGACCTCTGGACTTGTCTAACTTCTTTCTTCAAATCCTTGTCTGGAGGAAGCCTTCCTTTCATCAATTCTTTAATCCTATCCTGGCATTCATCAACTCTAAAGTGTAAAAGGAAGAGAGATATCAGTGGTGATATAGACTAATGAACTGTTGGGGAGTGTTGGAAAGTAATAATAAAAAACTGGAAAAATAGATTGGAAATATGTATGTAATATTGCCACTTACATCTTGTGTATCTTTTTCTTGGTTTCCAGTTCCGCCTTCTTAAGGGAGAGTATAGCTCTGTCATCGGAATAAAAAACCATACGGTCTCTTTCACGCTTAAGCTCTTCGATTTTTTTATCTAACTTAAACTTATCACTCTTCTTAAGCTGAATACTACTTGGAAACTTTCGTTCTTCAATTTGACGATTCTTCCTCTCCAATTCAGCTTGCTGCATAGCCATAGAGAACAACAATATGAGGTCTGTACCTTTACTATTGGGTTTAGACTAGAGTTGAGCAGCAAAATCAAACCATTCCATGTTCCTTCTCATCCATGAGAGCAAAATTAACATTAGACACTTCAAGTTCAAGTCCATCAAGCTCAAGCTTCTTCTCTTCAATCTGCTTTAAAAGGCCGCTCTGCATTCGGTGATTGGCATCACTATCATAATCTGAAGCTCAAGAAGTAGCAACAAAGGCACAAGCATCACAAGTTAGGGGCAAACCTTCATCTCTGATTTAGCATGTAGGCTGGCCTCCATCTCTTTACAACGGTTATTCGCATTCTCAAAGTGACTCCATGCTGTTGTAGTAATCGCCAAGTTTGATCCATGCAAGCTAATCCAAATTACATCATTTTGCATTTATGACAGAGCATAAAGAAATTGGCCTTGAGCAAATAGGAGGGGCATTGATTAGATGATACAAACTGATTACTTGACATATATGAGCACATAAGCAAAGAAGTGTAGAGTCAAAAACACCTAGGACAACCGCCATCTTTCAAACTCAGCCCTCACACTTTCCACTTATTGCAATTTTCTCCCTTGAGTATAGGCATCAGTCATTCAAAGATTGCAACGGGGCAGGTTACGTTCAGCGTACCCTAGATCCACCATCTGCCCCACACTACCACCACACCTCAGCTTAAGATTTTAAGTGTCCACCACTATGATGCATGCTACAATGTAATATCATACAAAGATAAAAGAGCAATCAAGTAAAACCATGGGAGCGATAGCTGATTGATTTGCTGATTGATTTATTCTTATTTGATTTTAATACCTTTATCAGTTTATCTATTTTAAATAATCATTGATTTTATAGAATTATCATGGGTCATCTGGAAACAGTCTCCCTGTGCTATATAGTACAGGGGTAAGGCTACGTACATCCGACCCCCTTACTCCACCGTAGGTGGGAGCCTTTGTGGCACTGGGGTAATATTCTAGTGATAATATAAAGGTATGATATATTGTTTCATAGTGTATATTCTTTTAAAGTGCAGAAAAAATGAACTAAAAGTAGTCATAAATATAAAATATATCTTACTAGATATTACATTAAAGTTGTATTATAAAAGGGGTAAAACGGGACATACTCGCTGCCCATTATGAGTTTAGAGATAAACTATGGAACGTGTGCATAACACATATAGTATTTAGACATATACAAATATTAGGTTTGAACTGTTTCACCAAGTATTAGCTTATATAGCAACATAAGAAACAATACCACTAAAGTGTAGCACACTTACCCTACTTGGACAAATAATGGTTTTCACTTCTCACTGCCCTTTATGAGTTTATGGATAAACCAAGAATGCTGAGCAACCCTTTTATATAAACTTGTTTGAAACAATGAATACAGAGACCACCTTTTTATGCTCCGAATCCTTCACACAGTCTGCATGTCTCAATTTTATTTGATTCATGAGGCTCAGAGCAACTTTGCTGAGTTCACCGTCTGAAGTCCCTTGATAATTGTGTCCCTCTCATTCTTGTGTTTCATGTGAGTCTAAGCATAAAAATAACAAATGAAACAGCAAATTACTTTAAATAAATAAAAAATCTGTAATATAAACTTGTGCACGGGTCAAAGAAACTACGTTAGCTTCACTTTCAAGCTTGCTAATCTCCCAGATATAGCCTTTCATATCACTTTGAATGTAGAGAAAGAGCAAAAGTGAACACATGAGCTATTTTGTTCCACTTACAATTCACAAAAAAATCATGAACAGTAAAGGATGCTTGATTGTTTCTTGTTTATTCTCATTGTATGTTCTTAACATATGCTTGATTGTGGCTTGTCTATTTCCATTTTATATTCATTCATTTGATAGTCGAAAGGCTTTAGGTGTAGGAAATTTAACAATTCAAAACAAATGCGACCTTTGTCACTTAAAGATGTCCTTTCAAAACCTATGCATATCTTAAAGGAAAAATTGATTGTAATAATCCCAACTATTGGTGGTCCACTTATAATAATCCTAACTATCGATTATTTCAGAATAATCCCAACTTTAGGGTCCTTCCGCCAATAACAGTCCCTGTAAATAAATTCATGTACTTTCTAAAGTGGATGAGAAGAGATATAACAAATAATCTCTATAAATAATCCCAACTTTTAATTTTTACGCTTAATTTCTATTTAAAATTCACTTTTATAGAAAGTAATATTTGGTCATGGACCATTATTGGCGGATGGTCCATATAGTTGGGATTATACAAAAATAATCAATAGTTGAGATTATTGTTAGCGGACCGACAATAGTTGGGATTATTATTTTCAATTTTTCCTATCTTAAAAAGTGTCATGTTACGAAAAATAAGCATATTTTCATTGAATTCAAAGGAGTTTGTCGAAGTAAAAAATGTTCCAAAAGAGTTAGTATGCTGATTTAGTTTACCATATAAAAAATAAATATATTAGGACAAATGATTTACAAAAGTTGTACCGTACCACAATTAAATACTTCTACATTGATGCAACATGCCAACAAGAGTCTTCTTTTTGAAAGGATGGATTATATGTTCTCAACCAAAGTGCTTTCCACTTCAATAAGGGTTTAAAATAAGAAATGGGGAACCAATTGGAGCTTCATCTGGAGATAGGACTCTCTGCTGATTTCCAACCCCTAAGAGACAGCAAACTCTTTACAATTTGTGTTCGTGGGACCCGCGCTCAACCTACTGAAGCAGCCACATCAAGAATGTCTTCAGAACTGGATGTGTTAGTGTCAAGAACAAGTAAATCATGAACAACTTTATCACACAACTCCGTGAATAGATTAAGTACTAGACTTGAATGGCGTCTTTTGCGCAGAATGTTCTTCATTAACCTGAAAGTAATATGGTTAAGCTCAATGCCTCCATTAACCATCTCAACAAGTATCCTTTTTATGGTACTAACATCTACATTCTCACACAATCCAGATAGCATAAAACTGTAGGTGTATATGTTTGGGGCCAAACCAATTTCTTTCATCATGCTAAACACTACATACGCATCTTCAACAAGACCACTTTTGACTAATCCATCAATAGCAACAGTATATGAAACAACATCCAGATTGAGTTTCTCTTCCACGGCTTGCCTGAATAATCTGATGGCTTGGTGAAATTCACCAGATTTTATAAGTTCATTAATGATCACAGTGTGAATATGAGCATCTAGCACATCTTGATTCTTAACCATACCCTGATACACATCAATAGCCTGAGATGTCTTGCCTAACCTGCATAACCCACTCAATAATCCTGCAAATGTATAATTGTCAGGTTGGAAACCTCTATATATCATGTCGTTATAAAACTCAACAGCACCTTTAGGGTAACCGGCTTTGCAAAAAAAACTTAGAAAGGAGTTACAAACAACTAAGTCGGCATGTATATCCAATCCATTGATGAGTATAGGCAAGAGGGTGAATTCTTTGCATAAACAAACTGTTGACATGATAGAGGAAAGTGTGTAAGGATCAGGGGTCAACCCTCGTTCCCCTAAACTACAGAAAACATCAATTGCTTCATCATAATTCCCTGTCTTTGAGAGACAATGTATAAGCACATTGCACATAATCAAATCGGGGAAGCACCCTATGGACTTCATGGTGTCTAGGATCTTAAAAGCTTTGTTAGGCATCTGAGATTCCAAGTATCCCTTTACCAAAGATGTGCATGTGACCATATTTGGCATGCATCCACTAGACACCATCTTATTTAGCAAATGATTGGCAAAATCAAGTTTGCCGAATTTAGAATATCCATTTATTACTATACTCCAAACAATGACGCATGTAGGTACACCCAAGACAATCATAAGACCTAATAATTGGGTAGCCTTTGATAATTGACCTGATTTGCAATAAGAGCTCAAAACAGACGAAAATGTCTCAGGGTTAAGATAATATCTATTCCTCAGCATGGTCCTAAGTACATAATGGAGATTAAACATATCATTGAGTTTACACAAATGGCTGATGGAAATGCTGAAGGTTAGGAAATTTGGTGACTCCGTCTCCTTCAAAACTTGAAGTGCAACACTTGCGTAACCAACCTTGAACAATACATCCATCAATATGTTCCTAGAAAATGTGTTTGGCTTGTAGCCATACCTGAGAATCTCTCCAAAAGCCTCAATGACCATATTGTGCATTCTTCCAAGCCAGAAAATTTTCAATAGAAGTAATAAAACTTGTGGTTTTATCAAAGTACCAACATTCTCCAATTCCTCTAGAACACCTTTTATGGTTACAAACCTCTGAGTGAGGCGAGAGACTATATTAACCACGTGAACACAAGTTGCCTTGTCATGGAAGTAATTAGGTTGCTTAGCACACCAAAAGAAGAAGGAAAGAGCAACTAGATCAGAATGACAATTCAATATAGTGGACTGTACAACTTGCGGGGTGAGGATAACTTTGGAACTCCCAGGAATAGTAGAGAAAGAATTTTGATGAGTGTTCATCAGAAAATCATTAGTTGATAGGAGAGACCCGCATTTCGTTGATCTGTGTGATAGTTTGAATAGGTGTCTAGAACTCCATAACATTTCTACAATGAAAGATTGTGTAATCCAAAATAGATCATCAATGCTAGAGCTTACAAATTGAAACACCATTTTGCTTTGGAATTTTATCAATTCGGGACCTGAAAGATACACGAATTATCAATCTGGGGCCTGAAAGATGAAATGTATCGGTATAAGGCCCGAATGATGAAAAACTATCAATTTAGGACCTAACATTTCATATGTTTTGATTTACTTAATTTTTTATTAATTCTATTGCTAATACTTGATAATTTTTTCTTCACAAAAGTTTATTAGTTTAATAAAACAAAATAATATTTAATTTTTTAAAAATTAAAAATAAATAAAATTTATGAAAATTTAGGTCCTATATTGATAGTTTTCCATCATCCGGGTCCTATATTGATAGTTTTCCATCATTCGGGTCCTATATCGATGCATTTCATCTTTAAGGTCCCGGATTGATAGTTTGTGTATCTTTCAGGTCCTGGATTGAGAGTTACACTCACTCAAGTCGGCAGCTCACTCTAATCGGCAACAGGGATGGATCTAGCTTTCAATCCAGTGGGGCCTAGTTTCAATATAAAAATAAATATTACAAATGTTTAACAAGAATAGAAGTGTACACCAAAATCAAATACAAATAAACAGATGACATAATTACAGTTGTAATCTACACGAAAATTGTTCAAGCTTGTCAAATACAAAAACGCATCCATAATATTTATGTTGTTTTTTCATCACTTCTATTTGATGCAACGATAGTATGTCGTTAAACCAATATTCATTTTCTATTTCAACTCTACTCTAATCCACCACATAGTATGATAAGTCAACGTACTAAAAAGGTCTTTTGCCGTCCTTATAATTATTCTAAAAACAGTGAGATTAATATTAGCAATAGCTAATGGGAATGTGTTATTAATCCTCAACAATTAGTCAATGAGACAATTTTCAATTACATTAATAATAAGAATGGTGATGAGATTAATAGTCAAAAATCACAAATCAAAATTACATCAATATTAATGGGGCTCAGAATAACAATTGGATTTAATATATCATTATATTGCAACGAATTCAGCTAATCAACTATAATTGGCCACGTGGATTACGACTCAGCACATGTGATGTCTACGGATTCGTTACTTGTTAAAATGAATTTAGTTGTAATTCTCTTTCTATTAATACTGAATTGAAAAGTAGTTAGAGTTGTCCAGAACATATCATCTTCTTCCCTAAACTCTCTGTAAACTCCGTATACAATTCTCAAGCTAATATACGATTGAGTTGTTCATACTGTGTCCGAATTCTTTTCCTGTTTTAAGAATTCCTGCTAGTAATATAACTTGCTTTCTGATTACAATCCCTAAGTCATAGCAAATTGGTATCAGAGCACTGATCTACCAGGCCTACTTCCGCCATTAAAGTTCCACTTTAGCTCTGTCAACAATCGACCTGGCTAAGAAGAAGACTGTAGCAACTCTCTCGGCAAAAATGGAGGAAAGAATGGCAAGATTTGAGTACCAACTAACTAAACATAATTTAAAGAACGGACAAAAGTTTGCTAAAACAGCTCAAAAACTTGATATTTTTCTGAGAAATGCTACAAAAGAAACATGAAGAAGACGAAGTTCGTTCAATACATTCTCAATCTGATCAGAGTAATCACGCACAATCATTTTATGGAGGTACTTCTACTAGAACTCTTGGTTTTACTCCCAAAATTGAATTTCCGCACTTCAATGGCAGTGTCCCTAGAGTATGGATACAAAAATGTGCCAAATATTTTGAGTTATGCAAGATAGAAAATGGTCAAAAAGTAGATCTTGCTTCTTTGTACATGAATGATAGAGTCGAGCATGGTTGTTACGGCGTCGACTAGGCGTCGCCTAGGTGCTGACTAGGCGTCTTGGCGGTGGAGGAGTGGCGCCATGCTTGCTCGACTCGCCTGAAGCTGCCAAGGCGTAACTTGGCGTCGATTAGGCGTCTTCAAATCGTCGTGGCGATGCCCAGAGCTTGTTTTTTTCCGACCCGACCCGGGTCTGACAGAAATCTAGGCACGCAACTGTACATCACGTCGGCCAGGTCTCTCACGCAGGTCGCCACCGCAGGTGGCTGTCGAATTATAGCCGCCTCTACTCCACCTCTGTCTCCAGTTCTCTTGCCCATTCTAGGTTCCTGAAACTTGCGGACTATTCAAACTGAAGTAGCCGTTGTACTCAGTTTTACTGTTATGCTACTCTTTCTTTTGTTATTCTTGCTTTTATTCCTTGTACAAACATAACTGGAGACAGCTGGAGACAACTGGAGTCCACTTTACCTTGATTTTCTTTTGTGAAAAAATTTGTACTCTGCATTGAACATCCGTTCTATATAATAATATAAGTCATTTATTGTTGTGTGTGTGTGTGTGTGTGTGTATATATATATTAATTTAATTTAATTTGCAATATATTATTTAATTCTATATTAATTATATGGTGGTTCATATACATTTTTAATTTAATACGGAGCATGTAAGATATTATTTTATATTATATTACATTAATATATATATATATATATATATATATTAAATATTACATGTGACATGACATGTCGCCTAGGCCGGCGCCTTATCACCTAGGCAATATGGCAGCCGGCTGGCGGCGCGAGTCGACTTACCGCCGTGACAAGTATGGAGTCGAGTCTTGGTATAACAGCTATATCTCTATGAACAAATCTGTTTCCTGGGAACAATTTGTGATTGACCTATGTGCAAGGTTCAATGAAGAGATAGATGGCAACTGGCAATGTAGTTGAAGAATTTAACAAGCTTCAACAATCTGGATCTCTTAATGACTACTTGGACTCTTTTGGACATCTTAAGAGTCTTATGATTCAGAGAAACAATCAGCTTCCTGACTCCTACTTTTTGGATAGTTTTGTTGGAGGTTTGAAGGATACTATTAAACCATTCGTGAGAGCCTGTAAACCAATCAACTAGGCCAATGCTGTTGAATACTTGAATATACTAGATTGTTGGAAGGCAGTCTTGCTGCTTTTAAATCACAGCTAAACAGGTTCTGGACAAACCTATTCTGGAAACACACACTACTTTGCAGAAAACTAATCAGAATTCCAGTTTTTTCAGCAATAGCAGGATCCCAAATACTGTTAATGCTGTTAAAACTAACTCCAGTTTCAGTAAGAAGCCACCTCTACCTGTGGATGTGGAAGAAAGTAGGAGAAATAATTTGTGTTTTTACTGTGATGAGAATTATGTGCCCGGTCATAAATGTAAAGCTCAAATGTACCAAATCCAGATTGTGCCTCTAAGAAGGGAAGAAGGTGAGACCAACTTGGAATGGGAAGAGGAATTACAAAACATCTCTGAAGAGGGGACACCTTTGAATGTTCAAGTCTTCAAGATGATGAATTGTCTCCCCTTATATCTTTACATGCAATATCTGACCAAAACACATCAAACTATGAGGGTAAATGGTAAAGTGACAAAAAACAAACTACACATACTCATAGATTCAGGAAGTACCCACAACTTCCTGGATATAAACACTGCCAAGAAATTGGGTTGTAGAATCACCAATTCCTACCCGTTGGAAATGTCTGTGGCAAATGGTAACAAATTAGTTACTAAGCAGATCTGCAAAAAATTCAAGTGGAACCTACATGGTGTGGAATTCTCCACTGATGTTATGTTGGTTCCTCTAGGTGGTTGTGGAATGGTTCTAGGAATCCAATGGTTGACTTCTTTAGGGCCAGTTGTTTGAGATTTCAAACAATTAAAAATGGAATCCCACTACCAAGGGAGGAAAATCTTATTGAGACTTGAGAGGCAAAAAAAACTTGGAGAAGTTACAAATGATGAAAGGAGAGATGATGCTGAATATGATTACAGGGAACAGACATAAATATAATCATCAATTGTTTTTTATGATGGTATATCCTACTTCAGCAGAAATGGCAGCTCCTAATGAGAAGAAAATAGTTCCTAATCCTATTCGGAAGGTTCAAGCTGAATATGAGGATGTCTTTACAGAACCTACACTTCTGCCACCTCACAGAGAGCATGACCACCAGATACATTTAAACCCAAACACTCCACCTATAAATCTGAGACCTTATAGGTATCCTGTGATGCAAAAGAATGTCATCGAGGACATAACCAAAGAGATGCTGAGTAAGGGAATAATTCAGAATAGTCAAAGCCCATTTTCTTCTCCAGTGGTGTTAGGCTGTTAGCCAAAAAGAAAGAAGGAACCTGGAGATTTTTTGCAGACTATAGGGAGTTAAACAAACATACAATCAAAGATAAGTTTCCCATTCCTTTAATATACTCATTCCGTCTCTTAAAAATTTGTTAAGTTTCCTTTTTTGGTTGTCCCATTAATTTTGCCGCTTTCCTTTTTAAGTAAAAAATTTGTGGTTCTTGTGAATTATCTATCCTCTACGCAAGCCTCAACGGCTCAACCACACAATTTTTACTTTAATAATCATCATGTCGGTCAAACTTGATCAAGTTTTAAGGGATAGATGGAGTATGATATAGTTGTAATCAGAGAAGTTTTTATAATTTTTATAATGCATTGTGATAGTAGTGTTTTCAAACACCTTGTATCATGTAGATATTGAGTTGGTATAACTTATAAGTGTAAGTGTGGGTGAATTATGAAGTATAAAATTTTTATAATCATTGATGTTCTATAAGGAAAGAGAATACTTTTATTCTGCCTGGGCTGGTCTATTTGTTATTGAGTTAGAATGTTTAAACTTGTAGTTATTTCAGTCTTAGACCATGTCAAACTAAGCAGACCAATTCCAACCAGACCAAATCAAACAAGACTTGGACAATTATAAAATACACAGAGAACAAACATTTACCAGACCAAACCAGAAATAATCAAATAAAAAAATCAGTCTAAGTAAAAGCATCCTTACACACGCTTTATTCATTAATTGTTGAGTTACGCACACAAACCTTATTCATTATGCGCATTTCTCCTAACTCAATAATTGGCCAGTGTGCTTGTAAAAAAGATTATTTACTACAATTTTTTCAAATGGTCCAATGTTACATTAGGTTAGATTAAGGACAACAAATGATGGTGCCAATATAGAAAAGAAGCTCTTAGTACAATTTTACCACTTGCCTAGAAAAACAATGTCTTCAAATCAAAACAAAAGTATTTTAAATCATTACCCAACACTAAGTACAAAACCAGTGAGTTATCAATGCATATGCTGCTACGTATAAGGCTAAACTATTATCACCAAAGGAGCAAAAGTAATGGTAAAGAAAGTCCAACCTATCATATGACTCATACACATTCTAGGGAAATGTTAGTCAATAAGTTGTAGGGGAACACAAATTTTTGAAATAGATGAAGAGGATAGAATGAAAACTCCAGCCACCAAGTGTAGTTGCGTATCTATTTTAAAAAGTACTCAAAATTTCTTATTCAACTAACAACAGCATGACACCATTTTAATGGGGTAGGTCCAGTGGCGGAACCAGGTCGGGTAACTTGCGAGGGCACATTAACAAAAAAACATAATGAAGGAGAATAAACAAAACAATAAAAATTTAAATAGAAACTAATGTGTCATATGAATGACATTATCGGATGAAGAAATCATATTATTCTATGAAGAACCACTAACGTTAGGCCATTTTTAGAAACCAGTGTATAAATTCATAACATAGGGATTAGGGAGTGTGTCAAACAACCTAGAAAAACTACAATTAAAGTAACATGACTACATGAGTATATATATAAGGAAAAATTGATAGTAATAATCTCAACTATTGACGGTCCGCTCATAATAATCTCAACTATAGATTATTTCAAAATAGTCCCAACTTTTGAGATCTTCCGCCAATAATGGTCCCTATGAATAAATTCATTTAGTTTCTAAATTAAATGAGAAGAGATATATCATGTAATCCCTATGAACATTCCTAACTTTTAATTTTTAAGCTTAATTTCTATTTAAAATTCACTTATTATATGAGGTAACAGTTGGTCATGGACCATTCTAGGCGGACTGTCCATATAGTTGAGATTATACAAAAATAATCAATAGTTGGGATTATTGTTAGTGGACGTTGTGATTATTATTTTCAATTTTTCCTATATATAATTGTAAAAGTTACATAATAAAAAACTAATTAAATCAAAAACCACAATTAATATTTACAATACAATTAACAATTTATAAAATGAAATTATGAGAATACAATTGCACAAAAAATGGGACTTGGAGTACCGGAGAGGCAGAGAATATTAGATAAGTAGCCAAGTCTGAAGCAGGGTCGAAGGTGGAACCGCAGAAGGGTTCTCGCCGAGTCGACGCCTTGGTAAAGCCACCTGTTGTCGACCGTCGTTGGGTTGCCGCCTGCCGGAGTGCTGGTTGCTCTGTTGTCGACCGTCTTGACCGCTGAAGTGCTTCTGACTTTCTTATTTCCCTCCAATTGTCAAGTGTTTGGGAATTAGGGTTTGTCCTATCAAAAAAGCATCTTTTGTTTTTAAAAAAAACACTTATTTTCTCAAACACTAAAACTTTTATTTTTCTCGACTTCCGCGTCAAAAGTGATTTTACTTTTTCTATTACACAAAAATCACTTATTTTACCAAACACTACCACTTTTACTTTTCAAAATCACTTTTTTCTCAAAAATTATCAACTTTTATTTAATCAATTTTCCTCATTTCATTCAAAAACACTTTTCTAAAGAAGGAGCTGTTGCAAACAGACCTTTAGACTGCTTAGACAGTTAGTAGGGCTAAAGGGCCATTAGGCCACAAAAATTGGGCTGCCACTATGGGATCCGCTTGGATGCTGCTGCGGCGTAGCACTTGTTTTAGGCTTTGTTTGCAACCACTTGTGCTTAAATAAAAGCACTTTTGGGAAAAAAGTGATTAGTAGTAAAAGTTAGGGGTTGTTTACTTTTTTTTTGCATTAAGTCCTGAATGGATTAAGATGACTGTCTGGATTAAGACGTCTATACGGATTAAGTGATACAGAGATAACAAGTTGTTTACTATAGATGCTGAATGAGATGTCTGAATTATGTTTAATGACCAAATAACCCTTCAGTCTGGAACACATGCCGAATGTATATTTCCTTTTTATTTTTTTGCTTTTTTGGAATCTCCACCATGTTTCATACCCAAAAACATCAAAAAATGTGAAGGTTTTACAGATCCATCATGTACGCATACGAAAATTGGCAACATGTTATACAGAGTAATAAACAAACAAACTAAAACTACACTGCTCATAATCTGCTGCAAACATGGATGCTAAGCTTAACAAAAAAACAGATTTACAGAAGGCAATCACAATTTCACTGCTCAATTACAGATAATTTAGCTAATTACTCCGAATAATATCATCAATTTACTAGCAAATTTGAAAAATAAACTGAACGAGAAGAGAACAATTAGATTGAGAATAAGGAAAGCCCTGCAATCTTATACTCCGTAAAAGAAATCAAGAAGAGAACAATTAGATTTAGAATAAGAGCAAATACATGGACGAAGACCATACAGAGCTTCTGTCACGCCCCGGACCTCCCCGGACACATCAACAACCCGCCGTACAATACGAATAGTCAACCGCAGTCCAACACATTCATATTATACAAGGCGTCTGGAATATCATTCACACGTAAGCCATCCATAAACAACATAATAAGCAATCGTATACGTAGCGGAAAACATAGTTTGAAAACAAATGCCACACGTGACTAACATGAGCACGCATGCTCTATAGTAAAATATTCATGAGCATGTTTATTAATGTTTAAAAACCGAATGGAGGAAGCACAAACCAAGTCTTCCCTCCTAGATGATCTCTCGAGCAACGAGCACAGGAAGCAAGCTCTAGCCTCAACCTGAATGTGGGACGCCCCCGAAGGGGTCAGCACTCTATAGGGCTATAAAGTACTGGTGTGGATGGCATCTAATAGATATACAACAAGTATTTCAAACACAAGACCCTCCAATAGGGTGATAATATAATCTAGGTCGTAACCCCAAGTTACCCCTTTTTAAAATATACTTACTTTATATATAAAGTCAAGTAGTCGGCCCGTAGGCCCAAGGTTTTGTTTATCAAACATAGCCCAAGCCCCGTGACCCATAGTCACAACAATACATAGGGTTCAACCCTAACACATATGTTTGCATTCTCGAGTCCAATTCGACTACATCACCATGCACCTTAATTAACATAAGCTAACTACTCCACCGTGCATTTCTTGAGTCCAACTCAACTACATCACCATGCACAATAATCACCCCATCATGTCTACCCAATGCAATTCTATGAGCACGGGCTCAAGTACATCTCTTTACATTGGCATAGACCCCAATTCCTAAGCACTCACTATGCCTAGAATTGAAATAACAATAATCTATTTTGGGACATCCTTACGGACTGCCCAACCATGGTCTTAGCATCACACTACATCAATTTAGTCACTTGCATCACAATCAAGTTCATCAATTACAATCAAATCCTTAGATTCAATTCCTTAACAATTACAACAATCATTAACTAGTATTTTAATACTATTAAGATTATTCTTATCCATCATATATTCCATTTGTAAAACCCTACATATTTAGAGATATGTAGCAGCAACTTAATCATTCAATGTAATACATAAATAATCATTTATGTATCTACACAATTCACATATGAGTAAAATGCCTATTTCACACAATAGTTCATTTAACTCTATTTTTATCAATACTTTACCAAATCATTTCCCATTTTATTCTTTGGAAAATAGATCAATATTCCATCAATAATTTATCATCATAATCCATGGAAAATATTATTTAGGCATTTAGGTAATCTCATGCTTAACCTACAAGTTGTAAGCAACTAGATGTCGATCCTCACCTCAAATGAGCTTTAAAACTTTCCTTCTCAATCCAATGACCAAAGCCTCGGCCAAGAAGGTTTGAGAACTGATTCCTTGCTTGGAATTGAGTGTTAAACAGCCTCCTCAAAGTGCTAGTTCAACCCTTAAACGTTGGTACGAAAACAGCCCCTAGAATGGGTGTTTTCCGGCTAACTCGTTTCCTAGTTTTCCAAGATTTGCTCTAGGTTAGTATCTAACCTTTACATAAATAATAATAACTTTTTAAGGACCTATTATACACTTGGATTAGTGTATAATAGTTCCACCAACCGTTCATATCATTTGGAAAATGAAAGGAAAGGTTTTGGGGTTAACAACTCACTTTAGAAAGGTAGATCCGTTTCTGCGAGGTTGTGTTTTGCTCGGACGATTTGGAAGCCTCCCACTGCTCCGATTGATGCAAACCAGACCTTCACGGATTCCTCGTCTTGATAGATTTCTTTTGGTATCTCACACGCCTTAATGGATTGGTAAAGCTCGAGATATCAACACAACAGTCTCAGCACTCTTACTGCTCGAGTTTACAGACAGTAGCTCACTCCAGCTCAATTTTGGTATGATAAACTCTCCCTCCTCGAACAGAGACCACTCAAATAAGAAACTAGACTTCCAAGGCTATCCAAGGACACCTTATACACGTTGTTTGGTCGAGTATAACTCCCATAATGAGTGGAGGCAAACAGCACACCATTTTGTGCGAAAAATGGGGATGGTGGCCCAACATTTGATTCCTATCAAGTCTTGTGCAGCTCCTCTCCATGGTGGTCGGCCAAGGTAAGTCTTCTCACCCATTTTTATTTGTCTTGCAGGTACTAATATCATGTGGAGTGGTTCCCAATTGATCCCAATTATTTTGGGGTCCAAAATATCTACCAATACTTCCAAAAATGGAAAGATGGGTCCTATTGTTTTATCTTTTGTCAAAGATGTCTTTTTGCACTCATCCTAATTTATTTAGAACAAGTCAACTTCCTTAATCACATTATTGATCTCCAACATGTGTAGGCTCATCTCAATAATTTACTTGATGGATATTATATAAGGAAAAATCATACTCCCATTATTTAGCTCAATAATGTCAAAGATGGGATCATAGGCATTTGTATTCATCTCAAATCATCATATCACTTATTTCAACATTTGTCATCCATATTATTGGGCTACCAGCCGTGTGGGTCACCCCCTAGTGGGCCTACAACGCCATTCTCGAATACTTGCTATTTTAGCGGGTTGAGCCCAAAATAATATCTGGGCCGCCCGCCCTTCCTCAACTTGTCTTGAAACGTTATGTATCACTATTTAGATAATGTTAGGCTCTTTTATTTATCAATAAGGCCCAAACTAGTATTCGCAAGCCCGACACTAATATACAAGTTCGAACAGTATAATAATCGATCATTAATTACGTAAAACATCAATCATTTACAATGGTTTGGGAATCAGAAATTCAATACATAAACTTTCAATTTTTAAATTGAATTTTCAAGGACGTTCGGGTGCGGTGTCACAAGTTCACCCCCCCTTAACAGGAATTTCATCCCCGAAATTCACAGCTCTACTCGAATAGGAAAGCATACTGCTTCCTCATCAAAGCCTCTGTTTCCCATGTCTCTTCTTCGACCCGATCGCTCTTCCAAAGGACTTTAACCATTGGGACTTCTTTACTCCTCAGTTTCTTCACCTTTCTATCGGTGACCTTGATTGGTTGCACAGCGTAGTTCAAATCCTCACGTACTTCTACAGGCGGCTTTTCCAATACGTTAGAGGGATCATGCACATACTTCTTAAGTATGGATACATGAAACACATTATGTATCTTTTCTAACTCCGGAGTCAGCTGTAGACGATATGCTACGGGCCCAATCCTCTCTATAATTCTAAATGGACCTATATATTGTGGGTTAAGTTTTCCTCGGGTTTGGAATCGAATGATTCTTTTCCAAGGAGAAACTTTCAAGAATACCTCGTCATCAACCTTAAACTCTAAGGTTCTTCGACGCTTATCTGCATAACTCTTTTGTCTATCCTGAGCCGCTTTGAGTCTCTCTCGAATCAACTTCACCTTCGACTTGGTGACCTCAACCAACTCAGTACCCTCGAGTTTGGCCATGCCAACCTCGTCCCAGCATAACGGTGTACGGCACCTCCTCCCATACAATGCCTCGTATGGAGGCATGCCGATGCTTGCCTGATAACTGTTGTTATAGGCAAACTCCACAGTGCTAAGTGGTTGTCCCAACTTCCTTGGAACTCCAATGCATAAGCCCTCAGCATGTCTTCTAAGATCTGTATGACTCTTTCAGACTGCCCATCCGTCTGTGGGTGGAAAGCAGTACTGAACTTCAACCTCGTTCCCATAGACTCCTGAAATTTCGGCCAAAAACGTGATGTGAATCGTGGGTCTCTATCGGATACAATGGTCACTAGAACCCCATGTAGCCTCACGATCTCATCCGTGTACAATTTGGCTAACCTCTCAAGTGGGTAAGTAGTGTTGATAGGTAAGAAGTGTGCACTCTTCGTGAGCCTATCTACAACAACCCAA